TACTTTTCTGATAAATTTTATCTCCTTTCAAATAAACGTAATTAATATTTTAAACTGCAGGAAATTATTCTCGTCTGTAGATATCAAAGAGTGAGGGGTGTGCGCAGGAGCATTTGCACTTGTCATGAATTGCGCATGCGCGAAAACCGGCTCGTTATCTTTGACATTGTCACGTGTCAGCTGGCGCGAGTGTTTTGAAAAGGGAAATAAGACGTAATAAAAAATAAATAAATAAGTAAAAAATAAAATGAATAAGAAAGAAAGATAGGGAAGGAATGAACAGGTTAAAAAGTGTATAGCAGTGGTCCAACCAACGCGAGACACGTTGGGATTCGGGCGGAAGAACTCGAAAATATCAGATGAATGGTAATATTAGCTGTTGCCTTGTGGAGAAACATTTGACATTCACTGAGCAAGCAGCCAGTGCTATCCGAGTTCTGCTTTTCTTCGCTTGATGGCCATCGGGCCGGGATCAAAGTGTAACATCTGTTCTCCCCACCTGTGATGTTAATGGTAATATTAACCGCCTTCTTAAGCAAACATTAGGCATTTATAAACCGAGCAGCCATTGCTACTCGAATTAACCTTCACGCCCTACCCCGCTTCCTGTACGATCACCGGAGTTAAGCAACGTCGAGCATGGCCAGTACTTAGATGGCTGACCGCTTGGTAATACCAGATACTGTAAGATACGATGTGTAGTTAATGCAATCAATAATGGCTCAGAATTTTTAATCAGAGAGCTGAGTTCCAATTCCAGTCAGGTTCTTTATATTCACTTACATGCAAATACCCTTTGTAAATGAATATGAATACACATCTTCTCTCCCCAGCTATGGGTTAATTAGTAAGTTTTGTATCACTAAAACCATCATTATCTCCAAATAAGAAATAGAATTTCGTATAAAATATTTTGATTTCGGCATTAAATAACCCATGGAGGTATTGATATGCCGGTAAACAAAAAGAACCAACCAACAATTTACCCCCCCCCCCCGCTCATGATAATCGGGCGGGAATAAATGTTTCATATTTGTTCCCATATCTAATGGTAATATTAGCAATTGACCGAGCAGTCAGTACTACTGTCGGTAGCAATTTATAAAATACTAGCTTAAAAGCAGCCCTATCCGCTGGTATTTAATCTAGCTCCCGCGGAGGGTTCTTGATGGGGCCTTCATCACAGTTGGTAGGGAGGAGTAGATGCGATAGGCAACAATAATCGACAGAAGAACTTAAAATTGATCGTTTGCATTTAAGTATTGCATTAATATTTAAGCTTACTTTTACCTTCTGTCGTCACTTAATTTAAAGACAGTTTGATGCGCGTAGGTCCTTACTTTCCGTACAAACAATCATTTTTATTTCATGGGTGACTTGCGCTGGATTTCGCAATTAATTTCGATTATTCCCAAATTTATTTCCATGTTATAAAAATTGTTATCATACAAAAAGAAATTCGTTGCAAAAAGTCACGTAAAAGTCGCCGATAAAAATCGCACTAATGAAAAATTGAGAATCCAAAATTTTACGATTGCTTGTCCAGATTCGGACCGGAATATTTTTAATTTGCTCACAGAGTCAGCCTGATTCCAAAATGGTATGAGATGTTAAGCTGCAGTTTCTAAGAATAAATATGAAAACACGGACAATTTTATTTTGAAACACATCATTTTGGGAACAGTAATTAATTGAAAGTTAGAGAGTTATGTCCCATTAATTGTTTTTATCAGTAGAAGCCAAGATGGCGGAAGCCGAAAACAATCGCAGTAATGAAAAACTTGGGAATCAAAGATTTCACGATTGCGGGTCTGGATCGCGCCGGAATGTTTTAATTTGCTCACGGAGTTGGACTGATTCCAAAATGGTATGATATTTTGGGCTACAACCTCTAGGAGTAAAGTTGAAAAGGTGTGACACAGTGACACACTGACATTCGCATTTATTATATAGATTTCTCTTAAAACAATTATTCGGAAGAATAGGTCTCTCAACTCCAATAACTGTTATCGTTCTTTGTAGTACTGATGGCTGTTTCCCTCCTAACCTTTTGTTTGAAGTCGTTTGGAACGTCAACATCGTGATTATGTCATTGTTTTCTCTTCAAGTTACATGTGATACCCATTTTAGTTGTTCCTGTTATTGAAAATCTTCAAATGATGTAGTTTCTGTTATTTAATACAGCTACTTGGGTGAGATTATGTAGCGCCAATCTATAAGATCTTCTTTAAGACGCAAAGGATTCATTCGCTTGGAGACATTTTTAATTATTGATCTGAGAAAGCGAATGTATACAGCCGACAGTTTAGACATTTTTAACGTGTCTTGCACCATGGATGACATCCACATGAAAGTTTTGATCTGAAAGGTTATTTAAGAACATGATTCGTTTTTAGGTTAATGTTTTGGTTTTGTAGTAACTTGTGGTATTAGGCGAAACTATGTCTCTATTGTTGCTTATTTTATGTTCAATTTCATATCTTAAACTTATCTAGACATCGAGATAGTCAAAACGATTAGTACTTATTAATCTTCGAGTTAAATGTGCTATTCATTTTAGTTGTTACCGCTTTTGAAATACTTCAAATGATGTGGCTTTTGTTAATTGAAAGATACCGTGAGTCTGTAACGCCAGTAGCATATCTCCTTTAATACGCAGTGGATTCATTCGCTTGGAGCCATTTTTAATAACTGATCTGAGAAAACGGTTGTACATCGCTGATAGTTTAGTCATTTCTGAACGAGATGGACGTCATGGATGACATTCATATGAGGGCCTCGATCTGACGAGGCTATTTAAGCATATGACTCGTGTTTTTAGGTTAATGCTTTGCTTTTGTTACAAAGAAAAAAAATACAGATAAAAAGAGAACGGTTTTATTTGGGAAAGAGAGCGAACGTGGCAAAATTGAAGAGAGAAAAAATGGAGGTATGGAAAAGGAAAAATAAAAAAAAATATGAATGAGGATGAAGCATGACACGAAGAGAGATATATAAAATTTTCCTGGTCGAATCAGTTCCTCGCGGGATTCGAACTTGCTTATTCCTTGCTGTTTTATAGGTTGATAACCATTGCGCCCCATTAGATGAAAAAGGTGACAGTGATGAACGAAAAGGAGAGAGAGAAGGAGAGTGTGACGGCGAGAAGAACGTGGAAGAAAGGCAGAGAGAAAGGAAGAGAGAATGACGAAGTGATAAAAAGAGAGAGAAACAGAAGAGAGATGGGAAAGACAATATAAAGAAAATTAGAGGGAAGAAAAACCATGCTGCGAGAAAGAGAGAAAGAGATAATATAAAGGAGGGAAAACAAAGAGAAAGGAAGAAAGCAAAGAATCGAGAGAGGGAGTAAGAAAGAAATCCACACGTGAAAACGAAAAGAGACGCAAAGAAATGTAATTTACAGACTAAGAGTGTAACAGCAAGAAAGAAAGAAAGAAAGAAAGAAAGAAAGAAAGAAAGAAAGAAAGAAAGAAAGAAAGAAAGAACAAAAAGCTGTAGAAAGATAAAAGTGGGCGACATGGTGAAAGAAAGAAAGAAGTAACTTGTGTGTGAAAGAAAGAAAGAAAAAAGAAAGAAAGAAAGAAAGAAAAGGAATCGAAAGAAGGAAATAAGAAAACGACAGAAGGAAATAAGGAAAAGAAAGAAAGAAACAAACAAACAAAAGGAACCGAAAGAAGGGGAAAAGTGAGAGATAGAAAGAAGCGATTTAAAGAAAGAAAGAAGCACTGAAAGGTAGAAAGAAGGAAGAAACTGAAAGAAAGAAAGAAAGAAAGAAAGAAAGAAAGAAGCATTGAAAGGAGGAAAGAAGGAAGAAACTGAAAGAAAGAAAGAAAGAAAGAAAGAAAGAAAAAAGAAAGAAAGAAGCACTGAAAGGAAGAAAGAAGGAAGAAACTGAAAGAAAGAAAGAAAGAAAGAAAGAAAGAAAGAAGCATTGAAAGGAGGAAAGAAGGAAGAAACTGAAAGAAAAAACGAAAGAAAGAAAGAAAGAAACATTGAAAGGAGGAAAGAAGGAAGAAACTGAAAAAAAGAAAGAAAGTAAAAAAAGAAAGAAAGAAAGAAAGAAGTAGCCAGTGTGTTAAAAAAAAGGATAATAAAAATTAAACACGGTGAGAAATTATAAAAAAAAAATTCGTAATAAAGAAGAATAAAAGAATGATTAAGGCGGGAAGGGATAAATAAAGATGAGTAAAAAAATAACAGAAAATATACAGAGAGAAAGACAGTTATAAACAGAGAGAGTGTGTGTGAGAGAGAGAGAGAGAGAGAGAGAGAGAGAGGGGGCGGAATCTGAGAGTAAAGAAGTGCCAGAAAATTGAGTGTAAAATAGAAAGAGAGAAAAGAGTGACAAATCTACGACATAGAGTAGAAAACCCTTCTGAAATTGATCAACTAAGGAAGGAGGAGGAATTGTTTGGGTAAGAGGACAAAAAATTAAAAAAAAAAAAGGAGAAAAGCAATATGGCGTATCGATGCTATCCATTTTAAACTAACGATTTTCTGTCATGACTTGTTCGCATTGTTTATTTGACGAACGAACAAAATGGAGTCGGTGTTGAGGTGTATAATTTGTGTTCTCAACCTGACGCCTGAATATTAGCATGGCGGCCATGTGAGTAATTCCTTACCTTAACTCATATTGCAACTACGTCAGCGCTAGGATATCTCCCAGAAACGCAAGACAGATCCTATGGAGATATGCACGTCATTTATTTACACTTTTTTTATTTAGACATTTTTACTGTGTTTTATATTGCGAAATATTGGATTGTGAAGGAATCATTTTGACAAAATCAGAATACGTGTCGAAGATGTTGAACAGGAAATTTTAAAACTTGGAATTATATTATTTTTAAAGTAGAAAACACCGAATAATCGCATTATGGCAATTTAAATTAATTTAATTTAAACCTTAAAAATATTCTGAGTTAGGGAGAAAGCGGGAAACATGTTTCTTCACAAGAACACAATCATTAAAACGTGTCGTCTGAAAGCAGGAAGAAATGCTTTTCTTTCTTTCTTTCTTTCTTTCTTTCTTTATTTTATTTTTTTTCTTTTGCGCCCCCCCCTCGTCTTTCGCAGTATTTAACACTTCTTTTCTTCTTCATACCCTCTCTCCCTCTCTTTTCGGGTTTACATTATTTTTTATTCCCTCCTCCTCCTTCTCCTCCTCCTTCTTCTTCTTCTTCTTCTTCTTCTTCTTCTTCTTATTATTATTATTATTATTATTATTATTATTATTATTATTATTTGTGTCTGTTCTGTTTCCTGTTTTGTATCCTGTAGAGCCGGGTCTAAACTATGGCCGTTAGGTCCTATCGGAGAACTGTCATTTAATTGATAGCACTTTTCTTAGTATATGGGATGTTCTTAGTAGGGCAATCTTCTGGACAACTTGATGTTGATGTTACCTGGGACACTGTTAGTAAAATTGCCCATTCCTTTTCTCACGAGGCCCAGAACTCGGATTACTATTGACATAGTCTCAGTCTTCATTCCTCACATTCTGTTAATCTCGATCTCCAGGTCCTTGTATTTGGTCAATTTCACGATAATTTTCATGGCGCTGTTCCTCTCAGATGGTACTTCCTTTTTTTTCTTTTTCTTTTTTTAAGCATTTCACCCCAAGCAAGGCGGGAAGCCACTGGGACGCAAGGGGTTACAGAAAATTTAGAGCAAGATCAGATAAAAGAAAGGATGAGGGTAGTGGATAGATCAAGGCAACTGGAGATGTCGATTGACATTACACTTGAATAGCTAGAGATTATAGCTCACAGGGAAACAGGAATAGAGAAGGGAGTTCCACAGCCGAGAGGTGCGAGACATGGAGCTATCGGAGTAGAAGAGACAGCTACATTTAGGAGTTTCGACAGTGAAGGGGTGAGAGCGGGATGCCAGCCTCGTATGGCGCTTGAACTCATGTTAATAAGTTACACACTTTCTGAATTCTTTCTTTCTTTCTTTCTTTCTTCTTCTTCTTCTTCTTCTTCTTCTTCTTATTATTATTATTATTATTATTATTATTTTCTCTCTCTTTTTCCGCCCGGGTTTTTGCTTACAGCCGAAGATCTTGTGTTCTGAGTGTTCTCTATCAAGTCGTCTGAACTCAAATAGGTAACACTTTTACCAGAATATTTGAAGTATCAAGCAAAGCGGACTTCTGATGCAACCAAATACTAAACTTTATTCCGATTATTATTATTAGTAGTAGTAGTAGTATTTTTTATTTCCTTTGATTTCTGGTATGTACTCATTTCTTTCCAGGTTCCCCCTTCCCCCAGAGACCTATGGTCAGAAATGGCATCATGACATTTTCCACGGAGCATATTTTGTATAGATAAAGTCCTTCGTAAGATTTGGGCTGTACTTGTGAGAAATTTTTTTTTTTGTAATTCTTTAAGCAATGGACTACCAGGAATCCATTCAATGAGTCTATTGGAATCTCTTCCAGTCTGAGAGATCCAGCTACAACTAGAATTGATGTCCTCATGCGCCACATTTTTGAGATTTCGATTTCAAGATCTTTGTATGTTGATAGTTTTTTGAAGATCTTCAAAGATACATTGAAATCTGCAGGGTCTGCCATGTTGATAAAAAGGCACATTTTGGCTTTGCGGTCTAAAATCGCGATGTCAGGGCGATTACCTTTGATTGTTCTGCCTGTGTGTATTATAAAGTCCTATAAAATTGCTACAGATCCTATCTCCGTAACCGGATCTGGGTGGTGTTCATACCAATTTCTTGCAGTTTCCTTTCAGTAGAAATTGTATATTTTACAGCACAGATATTGGCCCATTCTGTTATGTCGAGTTCCATATCCAGGGAGTGCCGATACCGCACAACTTGATACAAGATGGTCAATTGTTTCTGGATATTTATCACAGAATCTGCATTTTAGACTAACAATTTTTCAGTATGTGTGCTTGGTAATTTGTAATTAGAAAGCATTTGTCCGCTGCAGCAAAAATAAATTATTATTATTATTATTTTTATTTTCTTTGATTTCTGGCGTTTACACATTTCTTTCCGAGTCCCGCCCAGGGACCTAAGGTTAGAAATGGCGTCATGACACATTCCACTGACAAAAAAAAAAATTACATAGATAAAGCCCTTCGTAAGGTGTGGGCTGTACTTGTCAGAACAATTTTTTGTATCTCCTTGAGGCATGGACTTCCAGGAATCCCTTCAATTAGTCTACTGCAATCTTTTCCAACCAGTCCTAGGGCTCCAACTACAACAGGGATAGTTGATGTTCCCATATGCCACATTTTCGAGATTTCTATTTCAATGTTCTTGTACTTTGACAACTTTTTGAGTATCTTCAAAGATATATTGCAGTCAGCAGGGACTGCCATATCAATAAGGAGGCACCGTTTTTGTTTGTGGTCTTTAATAACAATATCTGGCCGGTTGACCTTGATTGTTCTGTCAGTGTGTATTGTGTAATCCCATAGAATTGTAACAGGTCCTATCTCCGTAACCGGGTCTGGGTGGTGTTCATACCAGTTTCTTTCTGTTTTCTTCCCGTAGAAGTTGCAGATTTTCCAGTGCAGATATTGGCCCAATCTGTCATGTCGGGTTTTATTTTCAGTGGGTGCCAACACCGTACAACCTGATACAAGGTGATAAATCGTTTCTGGATATTTACCACAGAATCTGCATTTTGGGCTGACACAATATTTTAGTATATGTGCTTGATAATTCCTAGTTAGCAAGCATTGGTCCTGCGCAGCAAGGATAAAACCTTCAGTTTCCGCTTTCAACCCTGCACTACGTAGCCACTGATGGGTACGGGTTTTGTCTACGTCAGCTTGTTTGGTACGGGCAGAGTATTGGCCATGAAGCGGTTTATCTTGCCATCTCTTCTGTAACTGTTATTATTATTATTATTATTATTATTATTATTATTATTATTATTTCCTTTGATTTCTGGCGTGTACACATTTCTTTCCGGGTCCCGCCCAGTGACCTAAGGTTAGAAATGGCGTGATGACACTTTCCACTGACAAAAAAAAAAATTACATAGATAAAGCACTTCGTAAAATGTGGGCTGTACTTTGGAGAACAATTTTTTGTATTTCTTTGAGTCATGGACTTCCAGGAATCTCTTCAAAAAGTCTACTGGAATCTTTTCCAACCAATTCTAGGGCTCCAACTACAACAGGGCTTGTTGATGTTCCCATATGCCACATTTTCGAGATTTCTATTTCATGGGCCTTGTATTTTGACATCTTTTTGAATATCTTCAAAGATACATTGCAGTCAGCAGGGGCTGCCATATCATTAAGGAGGCACCTTTTTTGTTTGTGGTCTTTAATAACAATGTCTGGGCGGTTGGCTTTGATTGTTTTGTCAGTGTGTATTGTGTAGACCCCAATAGTTCTAAAGATAACTGGGATAATACCCGCTTGAAGGATATGACAACACAACTATGAAATTCAAAAACCCTATTGTTTAGGGATTAAAGTCACCTCCAGTGGCAGGTATGGACATTTTGTACAGCAAATAGAGGCTCGGATTGAGGAATCGGAGAACCGAGTTCGAATTCCAGTCGAATCGATTACATTCACTTACGTGCTAATACCCTTGGGAAAGGTGTGAATCCCTTTCCTCTTCTCCCAGCTAAGGGTAAATAGCAGGACAGACCAAGTTCTATAACCTTGGATGGAAACTGGTCTACCGCAGAAAGAAATGGCAACCTACTGCGGGAAAAAAAAATCTGCCTCGTCAGTCATGTATCCAAAGATACATGATCGCCTACACGTGTATCACGCATGGCACATAATTGAACTGATATTCACTTATGTGCTAATACCCTTGGGAAAGGTATGAATCCTCTTCTTCTCTCCCCAGCTATGGGTAAATAGCAGGACAGACCGGGTTCTATAGGCTTGGATGGCAACTGGTCTACCGTAGAAACAAATAGCAACCTACTGCTGGAAAAAAAACTGCCTGTCAGTCATGTATCAAAAGATACATGATCGCCTAAGTGTGTATCACACATGGCACATAACTGGCTGACAGCAAATGAACTCACATACAGAGCAATAAAGGTTAAAATTTTTTCTTTTGTTTATTTTTAAGTGTTATTCATTAAAATATTTTCCCTGATTTTTCTTATCCAAAAATAATTTTCCTCAGTCACTATAAATTCTTGAACCTCCAGTTTAATGGCAAGACCACTGAATAGTTTTCGTTAAGATTCCTTAATATTCTGTTGCGTATTTTAATCAACCCACAACAAAGAAAAAGGCTATAAAGGTTTTTAAATATAAGCATATAAAATATTTTTTTTATTTTTGTGTTTTACAACTAAATTTTTCTCAACGTTTATGAGTGTTAAATTTCTTATGTAAAGTTCCTTGCTTTTAGTTGTTTGTTAAGAGAAAGTGAGTAGGAAAGTATAAGTGTTAAGTAGCTTGTTGAGAAGGGTGTAAGTGTCTCGTAGCTTGATGAGGAAGAGTGTAGGTGTCACGTAGCTTGGTGAGGAAGACGGGTGAATGATTAAAGGAATCTCTCTGAAGCCGCCGTCGTGAACTGATATCGCATGTATCTGTCTATATCTCCATACTGGCTTGTCCGGTTTAGAAACGTTGATAATATATTCTTCTAAGGGATCACGAAGCATGTTTTTTCTTGTCGGCGGGAACACGAATATTGAACATTTATTTTCAAAGGATTAATTTATTAACCAGAAGCATGCACGAATCCTTTGACTCACAGCCATTTTTTTAATCATTTGATGATTGAATGTTTTCTTCTCTTCAGAAATAATTAGAATATCGTTCCTTTATCTAATTATATAATTAAATTCCGTAATGAGTCACTCCTCATAGTATGAATTTATTAAGGTAACTCCTAGACATTTGTTCGTCCTGGGTATGACGATGAACTACATCCGCGTCCTGGGTAAGACGATAAACTACGTCCAACAGCAAGGCTTCTAATCAGGAGGTATTGAGGATCGTGAAACCACCTCTTAATTGTTGGCGTTGCCAGGTCCACCCTGACCCGAGGTTGACACCCAAATTTATGTAAAAATAAATTTTAATACCAGAAAGACTTTGTAATAAAAAAAAAATATTACCAGTAATAATTTTTGAAGAAAAAATTATTATCAGCAATACTTTAAAAAAACGTACCATCAATACAAACATAAAAATATTACCAGCTATAGATTTCTTCAAGGAAAAATATTCCGAGAAATAGATTTAGGAAGGAACAATATTACCAACAATAAAAATTTTGTCAGCATTAAATAACCCATTGAGGTTGATATGCCGTAAAACAAACCAAACCAAACCTAGACATTTGTAACTTATGTTGAGTCATTTTGTTAACACCTTCCAAGTTAATTTGCAAATTGTTTTTAATATTAATAGAAATTAAATGATTGTATTCATTATATATTGCATTTTGTTACAAAATCTTTTCCTTTGAAGACTTAAGTACTTAAATTAAAATCTAATGCCTTCTTTTTAATCTTGGTAACTTTCACTCAGGTTTTTGTTTTGCTTTTTACTTCTTAAACCTTTGAGTCCTGATTACCGTATTAGCGGTGGTGGAGAACAATGATATAATGCCCAGCCACCGGTTGAACGATGGGTAAACACTTGTATCGTGTTTTGCTACTCTTGTGCATCAAGAGAGGCAGCACCTGCTGAGTAGACTGGCACACAAAGAAAGAATTCTGGCGATAAAGTGAAGACACGCATTGGGTCAAAGGATCTCGTTCTCAAATCCTCCAATGGGGTCTGCATCCCATGTGCAAGGTTTTCGCATTTCTTTTTCTTTTCGACTTTCACTTTTCATATTCATTCTTGTCAAATCCTATTAGGATTTAAACGCTGCCCACATAATCTTCCTTACATATACTTATTAGGCTGATGCAAAGGTTTCCAGAAACTCTGTTATATTCCGGGAATAAATACTTAACACCAGGTGGATAATAGAAGAAAGGTTTATTGTACACAACTAGTACAATATGAAATACGGTACAGTTATATATATGTACAAGAATTATGTATTTTTATTTATTTATCTGACAGATTTTATTACTTAAGCGTCATTTTTAATGGTTACCCGTATTTGAGTAAATAATCCGTTTATTTAAAAAGCAATATGCAAGCTTGGTCAATCGACTTCGTGGCTGAGTCGGTTAAAAACATGTCGGATCTAACGACGGTTTCTCCCGCATAGGGGACGCAGGTTCGAATCCACCCACTGTTCGCATCTTCTTTTTTTTTCTCCTTCACAAAATCTCTTTCTGGTAATTTTTTTTTTAAATGTATAGCTGGTAATATTTTTTTTTTTTTTTAGTATTGCTGGTAATAATGTATTGCTGGTAATAATGTTTTTACAAAAATGTATTGCTGGTATTATAAACTATTTTTGCACTTTCATAGTATTTTGACCCCAGTTTGGGGGTTAACTAACTGACCATAGCTAGGACCCTAACAGGTGCTACCACCCCGGGTCAGGGTGAACCTGGGAACACCAGCAATTAAGAGTGGGTGTCACGCTCCTCAATACCTCCTAATCCTAATGGATGTAGTTTATCGTCTTACCCTGGACGGTCACCTATTGCTTTCTTCTGCTTCTTTTGACTTCAATTATGCTTTGTGAGTGCTATATTTTCCCAGCCTTCTTTCTACGTCCTCTGTCCCAAACATTTTAGCTGTCTCTTTCCTGTTGCTAAAAACAATTTACTTTTTTGTTCCCATTCCGCTTAAAACATCGCCATTTATTGTTTTCTCAATAATCCTTGTTAAAATCACATCTCTGTCGCTTCAAATCCTTTCTTCATTTGTAACGAAATTATTTAGCATTCACTGCCATACAGAAAATTACATGAGTATTTTCTCCTTCAGTATGGCTGATGCTAACCTCCTGGAGAGTGACTCGTTGCTCCTTCTCAGGCTAACATGATGAATGTATCAAGTCACACTGAAAGCACCGGTCCTCATTCGAACAAAGAAGTTAACTAACGTCAAGACCGGTCAGTACTTAGATGGGGGACCGCTTGGGAATACCGGGTACTGTAAGAAAACTCTTACAATCCAAAATATGTTTAACCGTTAAGTAACCCACAAAGTATCGATAAGATGTAAAAGAAAGTCAATCCTTATATAACAGTCGATGAAAAGTGAATTATATACAACAATGTCCAACGCAGAAGGCGGTGGTTTGACAAGGATAAATCCCCACAACCAGCCGAAAAAGATGGTCTTTATGCAAGAAAGGGGATGTTGTGCATTTGGTCGAATCGTCAGGGTATTATTTATTTGGAGCTCTTAAATAGAACCAGAACTCCATATATCATCTTAGATTAACCCCTTCTTCGAGTTTATACCCGGATTAACCTCTTCCAGAATAACCACTAGGATTGAGATAAGCCTACTTCATAGATTTTGGTTTAAAATAGTCTGATGTAAATTCTACATCCCAAGGCATTTTATATCATATTTATTATGATTGTCAGGAACTATTTTTCTTAACTCAATTGTTGGCTCCAGCCTATAAATTGGTAATAATGGCTGACATGAAATCAGTGAAAATTAATCAGTTACCCATGTTTCTAAAAAGAAACATGTCTTGTTCAGTTAATATAGTCAATCGGTAAAAATAAACAGTGGGTTTGAGAGTAGGTAAACTCATAAATTTTGGCCAGTTGACTGCACACATAAAGCAACAGTGGTCAATCACAAAAATGACTACCCTTCAATCAGTTTGACCAAAATCTATCGGCATCAAGAAACTAGGCTGACTCATGTGCAAATAAAGGAACGAGAATAAATGTGGGGTCTGCAGATTTCATACAAGAACTTTCTGTCACTGTCATCTGTAAATACAATATGCATCATTTTATCAGCTGTAGATACAATAATATACAGTGTAACCCGGATATAAGAGACCCGGATTTAAGAGAAACCCGGATATAAGAGAGATTTTCTCTGGTCCCAAATTAGAGCCTGTGTTAATGTATATAAAATAGACCAAACCCGGATACAAGAGAAACCCGGATACAAGAGAAACCCGGATATAAGAGACTTCTTCTCCGGTCCCGACAACTCTCTTATATCCGGGTTACACTGTACGATTTTTTAAAATATATGTAGATATTATAATTAATATCTTTTTATCGTCTGTGGATACAATAATATACATCTTTTCATTATCTGTCGATACAATAATATACGCCTTTTTAACATCTGTAGATACAATAATATACACCTTTTTATTATCTATAGATATAATAACAAACATTTTTGTCATCTGTGGATACAATGATATAACTTTTTTTATCATCTGTACATATAATAATGTAGATATATTCTAGCCAAACCATTTATAATTTCCGGGGGACTTCTAAGATGGTAGACTGACAATTGCTCACATAGTTCAGTCAGTGATCGTTTTTTTATAATATTGTTCCTAAAATAAAAGTCTCAAGAGACACTCAAGGTAGAAGGTTACTAAATGAGATTCTTGTTGGTGTGGAATTAGGAGGAAAGGTGCATGTTATGAAGAGATGTACGATAGTTATTGTTTGACCCAAGACTTGAAGAGGCCAAAATGGGGGGTCTGTTACACAAAGTGGCAGCTCTGGGGGAGGGGGGTGAAGCCATCCGATTGGAACTTTCTCCTTACCAAATGTACGCGTCTGGTCCTAGCCGTGAAGGTCTGAACTGGTGGAACTAAGGAATGTAGTTCGTTTGATCATCTGCTGGAGAAACAGCGATAGATTAATGAGAGGATAGAAACGTCTCCTCTGTCGGAAATGGGTTTCAGGGTAGGAAATATTTCATCATACACAAGACCAGGTAATCACTTTTGAACTCTGTCAAGGCTGGCAAGTGAAGACTAGGCTTTATCAACCCATGAAACAAATTAAAAAAATATGTACAATGGCCCTGAAAATTCTTACTGAACAATATGAAAAGGCACTCTTTCCAGCCAAATTATCGTCCTGGGTATGACGTTAAACTACATCCGGCAGTAAAACCTCAGATCGAGAGATTGGATGAGGAGCGTGTAACAACACCCTGACTGTTGTTGTTCCAAGGTTCACCCTGAACCGAGGTGGCAGTACCTGCTAGGATCCCAGCTATGGGCTAATAGTGAGCACCTAAAAAAATCAGTACATTTTTATAATAACATGACCAACAATACATTATTATAGAAAAATAACAATACAAGGCTAAAATATAAAAATAAATTTTTATACTAAAATTACCAACAATACATTTTATGATCTACAGAATATATATCTAAACATATTTTTTTACTTTCAGAGTAAAGTTACGTACGAATTATCTGTAGTGGAAAGCATAAAATTACATACAAAATATTTAGATTTTGGCATTAATTTTTTTTAAGCATATCACTCCAGTAAAGGCGGGAGAGCCACTAGTTCACAAGGGGTTACAGAAAGTGAGGACAGGAATAAAGAGGGCTTTGAGGAAAGGACACAGAGAAGAACGGGGATCCGGATCAAAACATCAGAAAATGTCGATTGACATTATATTTGAATATTTGAAGGTTATAACTATTAGGGAAGCAAGTGATAGGAAGGGAGTTCCACTGACAAGAAGTGCGAGATAAGGAGCTATTGGAGTAGAAAAGACGGCTACATTTAACCGTTTCGACAGTAAAAGGTTGGGACCCAGATGCCAATCTAGTAGCACGCTTAAATTCATTCAGTTTGAGAATCAATGAAAGTAGCTCATCAGAGCAGTTGCCATGAAAATACTTGTAGAAAAGACAGAGGGAAGCCATATCACGTCTGTGACTGTAGACGAGATGCCAGATTAGGACCTATTATATTGCATATCCATCTCTGGATTTTGTCGAGGACCTCGAGATGAACAGCGGTGGGCACCAGACCATATATGGCAACATATTCAATGCAAGGATGGATGGTTGATTTGTAGATTTGAAGGGATGGATTCAGGCGAGAAAAACCTTCTGACGCGACACAGAGAACCAACTTTCCTTGCAGTAGATGAAGCTATTGATTAACCCATAGTTTGATATGCCCACAAACGACGTCAAGCAATCAAACTACGAAGCAACCAACATGAAAGAAAAATTTCAGAACATTAATCCATATAATATCTGACAATTTCTCAAATCAAACTGTATTCCAAAACACAACTCCAACAAAACTACATAAAACAGACACATGTCACCGGCTCTAATAATTATGTTCACACAAATTAATTAAAACAACCGCTTTCGGCCAGTTTTAGACCCACTAGAGTGACAGGGTGTAATCGATTTCTATTTTCCATCAGATTAGGTCATTTGCAGTGGTGTGCAGTAAAATCTATTTTCGGGGTTTATGGCGAAATTTATTTAGCCTTGAAAGATATCGCATCAGATTTTCATCACACCCAGACACTATTGTCTCGACTGTCGATTAGTTATCCTACGGTCATTGTCTGCGATGGACGTTACTCCAAGGAAGCGGACGAAAATTGTAACACTGCACGAACAGACTGACAGGCTTCACAAGTAAGCAAATCAAAGTGCTATAAACAAGTCCGGAAACTCTCCTGATTTAAATCCAGTCGTGAATCTGTAGTCAATCTGCAAGGAACAATTTCGTGGAATGGATATAGGAAGTACTAACATATGCACTCGGACATGTTACATTGGAAAAATACGAAAAAACAAGTAAATAATAAAGGAACTATTCCTTTTGTTTCAATTAATTTGCACAAGGGTGTATATGCAGAAAAGCGGAGTATCATCTACCATGTAATCGATTGTGAAAGCAGAATAAGGTATATGATATTTTGTTACTTCAAAGTTCAAAAGAAAATTAAATTTCGGCATTTAAATGACCCATAAAGGAGTTGATACGCCGTAAAACAAACAAATCAATCGATGAATCAGTCAATCCAGTCTGATTAACAAAATAAAACTCGGGTTTTGCTGAATCACTTGAGTTAAGAACTTTTCAAAGTCCCATCGGAATCTTGTAAATGTTACTAGCAACGTTATCTGGGGAAAAATATGGAAAGAAATCTTGGAGAATTTGGCACTCACAGGACTTACTGAAGTCCATCGAGAAACAGTGTGCCTATCATGCTTGTGTAAATGGATGTCAGAATAAGGACTGGGAGGGGAAGTGAAAAGATAAAACTACAAAATTAGGAAGTTGTGGAGAGCCATGATCGACCTCATCCTGAAGGTACACGGCACGTATAAGAAGAAGAAATATGTTAATCCAGTTCTCGTTAAATGAGAGGTCACATCAGTGAGGTTGATTAACTTGAACCACCGGGTGCAGCAGCAGTAGTAGTAGTAGTAGTATTGAATATTGCTTGAAAGCGCAATGATAGTCGCTATAAGCACTGAAGATAGTAAGATGGAGGACGCTGAAGGCCCGATGACAGAATACCATCTTCAACGATGTACAAAGATAAGCGGTTCCTTTGATCTCAGGAATTCTGTCTTACGTAAGAGAAACACGCTTCATCTCTTGTCTATGGAAAGATAATAAAAGTGTTGACTGCGATGAGAAAAAAAAAAACTGACTGAGAAAAGAAGAAAAATACTGACATTCGGACAGTAAGACAGAATTTTGGAGAAAGAAAATGAGACCAAATTCTTTCTCTCTTTTTTTTCTTTTGATTACTTTTCTTCACCCACTTCTTTCTTTCTTTTATTTCTATTCAGGTTCTCATTTTTTTTTCTTTCTTTTCTCTCCCTTCTTTCATTCTTTCGGTCCCATCTCTTCTTTCTTTCCTTCTTTCTTTTTTTCTCTCTCTCCTTTCAGTCCATTCTCTATTTTCTTTCTTTCTTTCTTTTCGCTCCATTCTTCTTTCTTTCTTTCTTTCTTTCTTTCTTTTCACTCCATTCTTCTTTCTTTCTTTCTTTCTTTCTTTCTTTTTTTTCTTTCTTTCTTTTCGCGCCCTTCTTTCGGTTTCATCTCTTCTTTCTTTCTTTCCTTCTTTTTTTCTCTCTTTTCACTGCCTTCTTTCCTTCTTTCTTTCTTTCTTTCTTTTTTTCTCCTTTTTTTAGGTTGATTGTTTTCTTTCTTTTTCTTCTTTTCTTTTTTTTTTCCTTTTTTCGGTTCCTTTTCTTCTTTCTTCCGATTCCTTTTTGAATTTCTTTCTTTCTTTTCTGTGCTTCCTTTTTCCTTCTTTTTTTCTTAATTCCTTCACAGATCTTTTCCTTATTTTTCATTTTTTTCTCTTTTTCATTCTCCTTTCTTCCATTCCTAAAAGTATTAGCTTCTTTTTTTCTTTCTTTCTTTCTGTTTTGCTTTCTGTCTGGCTTTCTTTCTTTCTGTCTCTCTTTCATTTTTTTCTGTCTTTCTTTCTTTCTGGTTTTTCTTTCTGTCTGTCACTGTTGCTTTCTTTATTCTTTCTGTCTGTCTTTCTTTCTTTCTGCTTGTCTGTCTGTTTTTCTTTCTTGCTTTCTGTTTTTCTTTCTGTCTGTCTGTCTTTCTTTCTTTTTCTTTTTTTCATTGCTTTCTGTTTTTCATTTTTTAAATTCTTTGAATTTTTCTCATTTTTCCTTATTTTCCTTTCTTTCTTGCTTTCGTTCCTTCTTCCTTTCTTTTCTTTCTCATTCTTTTATTCATTTTTTTCTCGTTTTCTGTCTCACACACGTTTTCATTGTATCCTTTCTTTTTTCTGTCTGTCTTTCGATTGTTTTTTTCTTTTTTCTTCTTTCTTTGATTCACCTCTGAATTTATTTACATCATTTCTACCTTTCTTTTCCCTATCGTTTTTTGTTTTGTTTTTTAGGCTTGCATCGTATTTTCCTAACCTTCATTTTTAACTACTTTTTTCTTTCATTCTTTTCATCTTCTTTCTTTTTTCTTTCATTTCAGATATTTTTTCCTTGTCTTCCTTTTTTTTTTTAATTTTTATTTCTTTCAAATAATGATGGAGAACGCACCATCCCCAATGGGTATTTTTTTTAGCTTTCTCCCACTTACCGCTTTTGCGATGTAGATGTGGTGTTCGAGAAATTTCCAACTCATTGTCATTTCTCAGACGGAATGGTGCCTGTTGCGATAGAAGTAATCGTGGTAAGTATATAAGGAGTCACACAGACATAGATACAGTCATTCATTCAACTTTTAACATATGGTTTCTCATATATATATATATATATATATATATATATATATGTGTGTGTGTGTGTGTGTGTGTATAGAGATAGATAGATAGATAGATAGATAGATAGATATTAGTCGTTAATATACACATACATATCTATACATATCTAAAATGTATAAATACACACACACGCGCACACACACACACACACACATATATATATATATATATATATATATATATATATAACCCAATTACAGCCTCTTTCTCTTTACTTCCCTCTCCCTCTTCTTTCTTTTCCTTTTTCCTCTTTCTTTTCTCCCTTCTCCCCTCCCATTTCAATATATCACTTCCGTTAAGTTAACCGTCTAAATAGGTCAAGGTCTGGTCACTCCTCATCCGCCAACACTAAGTATGATTGAGAGATATATGAAATTAATCCCTCCCTACACTCTACCATGTCACTCTAACTACTCCTTTTTACACTCTCTGTTAAATTACAAAAACTTACACTACCCATCAATTTTAATTTCATCTTTCGTTTCATTTTTATTTTTGAAAGTGCTATCTGATGATCCGGCGTCCTTTAAAAGGGGTCTGGTGAAATAAATTATTATAATCGTACCTTAAAGTGGTCTGTTTTTCTTTTATATATATATATATATATATATATATATATATATATATATATATATATATATATATATAATAAAATAATTCCAAGAGGATAGCATCCAGGTAGAACTCAATGTCCAGGACAGAGAAAGGATATAATAAAAAGTGTTAAACACTAATATTGCATGGTCATAATTTATTCCATTGGAATCGTAAATACGATCCAATTCACCAGACCTACAAATTCAAAAAGAAATCAGAAAAAATAACTCCGGGAATAAAAAAATAAAATTTAATGAGAGTGTATGTATGAGAGTGGGGGACGAATACGAGAGTGAATCTCCCCACCCTATTTTTCCCTTCCCTCTCTCTTCTTCTGATCTTTAAGTGTAGATTATATCGTCTATTGTGTGTGTGTGTCATCACAACATGTCTACTCTTTTCCGGTGTCAATCTTTCATTTATTTTGGGTCAGCGATTCAGAAATGTATTAGACATCCGAGAATATTCATATTTATTTGTATCTCGGTCACTTAAACCGTCTTTGACTCCCCTCTTTAAAACTTCTCTCTGTTAAATTTTAATCCCCACCTTCACTTTTAGACCTTTCTGTTCTTCTCTCGTCTGTTACCCCTCCCTATACCTTTCATTGACTCTCGCAACAGCTAAGTATTGAGGTTACATCATAGAAAAGGCGGAATTAGATAGATATCAAACATTGTAGTGTAATGACTCAACATACAAATCCACGTGTCTATCAGTCAAGCCAATTTAGCGACCTTACAAGCTTACTTGAGCCAAGGCGTTGGAAGAGGCACACGTATTTTTCAGGGTATTTTTTTAAGGAAAAAATTGCCTCTTGTAAGCTGGAAAATACGATATATATGTACTCGACTCTCCCCGTCGAATTCGACGTATGAGGGACAAGCAGATCAGTTCCTAGGAAACTGACAACCCGACAACGACACATGAGATTTGATTATAGTGGTGATGGTTTCGTGCAGGACCATCCACACTTTTTGAAGGACCGAATACAGAGACCTGGTGCACTACCTGCCACAAGGTCCCCAAACGACCCTCCGCAGGATTTGAATTCAGAGTTGTCCTTCTCCTAGACCAGTTGCCATCCAAGGCTATAGAACCCAGTCCTGTCCTCCTGTTTACCCATAGCTGGAGGGAGATGAAGAGGATTCACACCTTTCCCAATGTTACTAGCACGTAAGTGAATATAATGGATGCGACTGGAATTCGAATCAAGCCGTTATCCATTATTCAACCGTGCCTCTCTCTCTCTCTCTCTCTCTCTCTCTATATATATATATATATATATATATATATATATATATATATATATATGCGATTGTGTTTCTTAACTTTTTTCTTGCATTCGTTCAAGAGATTTCTTTTCTTAGCATAGAGTGTGTAAAAACTGTCCAAATGATTCGTAGGTCCGAGACGTTTTGGCTCATCTCCTAACCATTTTCAGGAATTTTTGTTTGTTTTGTGTTTAACTAAATACGTAAATTCTTTTATATATATAGAGATGGGAATATTTTTAACATCCGAACACGGTCAGTGCGTTGTGGCCGTGTTCATCGGGAGATGACTTCTTTTTATCATAGCTTCCATTGACCATTTCAACGGTGGATGAGTCTGCTATGTTCGTGTTTTCCACAAGTACATCTTTGCGCAAATTATTTGAAACAACCCGTTTTAGTTTCCTTTCTTTCAACATACGATCAATTTTAGACCCACTGGATTGACAGGGTGTAATCGATTTCTATTTTTTTCTCAGATTAGGTTATTTACAGTAGTGTGCAGTAATATGAATCTATTTTCGGGGTGTATGATGAAATTTGTTTGACCTTGAAAACTATTGCCTCATCCGTGATTGCATTAGATTTTTATCACGCCCAGACACTATTGTCTCGACTGTCGATTAGTTGTCCTACCGACATTGTCTGCGATGGACGTTACTCGAAGAAAGCGTGAGAAAATTTGTAACGTTGCACGGATCAATTGGCAAGCCTTACCAATATTGAGCAAATCAAAGTACTATAGGCTGGCCCGGAAAATGTTCTGATTTAAATCCAGTCGAGAATCTGTGGTCAATCTGAAAGGAACGACTTCATGGAATGAACATACGAAGTACTGACATGTGCACTGGGTTTTATTGGAAGAATATGAAAAAAAAAATTAAATAATAACGGAATTATTCGTTGTGTTTCAATTAATTTGCACTAGTGTGTAATTTACGGAAAAAGCTTGATAGGTGCTCATGTGTATTTAAATGAGTTCTGACCCGAAATTCACAATGTAAGTCTTCACGCAGGACTATAAATCATACCTGTAGATAATATATATATATATATATATATATATATATAGTATTATTTTTCAACCCTGAGTCTATTATATTCGTATTTATACCTATAGATAATATATATATATATATATATATATATATATATATATATATATAAGTATTATTTTCAACCCTGAGTCTATTATGTTCGTATTTATTTATATTATTCGTATTTATATATATCTGTGAATTGCTAATACATCTAAAAAGATAGTTGGGTGTTTTTCCTTTGTACTCTTCGTGGATTTCACTTCAGAAGAGCCCTTCTCTAATATTTATCGCTATCCAAAGCTAGAGAACCCCCTGTTTACCCTATTATTTAACATACAGCTGTGATATGGGATAGTACAGATAGGTGTATGTCTTTTTCAAAGGGCATGTGTGAAGAGAATGCACTTTGTACTCTTTTTTGACTATTATATTTTCAGCTCCGATAACCGCTACGCTACAATCCTTTACGCGTGAAAAGAAATCAGGCATATATTTGAAACATTGTGAGATCAGATTTATTAAATCGAGAAAACAAGCAGCAGATGTTTTCGAAGAATGTAAAAAAAAATAATAATAATAATACACAAAAATTAATTAAAATTTGTTCAAATTTTCAGTTTGATTTCTCTCATTTTGTTTTAATTTTCATCATTTTAGATGAGAAAAACATTTCTTTAAATTATTCCGAAAAAAGAAAATCTTATTCCAAAAGCTTAACAGACGTTCAATCTTCATGCTAATTAATGGACTGTGTTTCAACGACGTTTTCCAGCCTCCAAAAAAAGAACGAGAAAATTATTCACATGATTGAATGGAAATTTTTAATTTAGTTTTTTTTTTTTTTGTTTTAATTAGTTTAACGTGTGAATCATATTGTAAGAAAGAAGCAATAAATACGATTTATATTCTCGAGAAGAAGCAATAAATATGAGTTATATTGTTGGAAAGAAGCAATACATATGAATCATTTTGTAGGAAAAAGCAATAAGCATCAGTCATATTGTAGGGATGAAGCAATAAATATAAATTATATTGTAGAAAAGAAGCAACAAATATGAGTCATATTGTAGGAAAAACAATAAATATGATTTATATTCTCGAAAAGAAGCAATATGAGTTATTTGTTGGAAAGAAGCAATAAATATGAATCATTTTCTAGGAAAAAGCAATAAGTCTCAGTTATATTGTAGGGATGAAGCAATAAATATGAATTATATTGTCGGAAAAAGCAACATATGAGTCATATTGTAGAAAAGAAGCAACAAATATGAGTCACATTATAGATAAAAAGCAATAAATATGAGTCATATTGTAGAAAAACAATAAATACGATTTATAATCTCGAAAAGAAGCAATAAATATGAGTTATATTGTAGGAAAAGGCAATAAATATGAATCATTTTCTAGGAAAAGCAACAAATATATCGTAGTCATATTTTAGGAAAAACAATATTTGTCATATTATAGCCAAGAAACAATAAATATGAGTTATATTGTAAGAATAAAGCAATAATTTGAGTCATAGAAATAAGCACTTACTATTTTAGAAGCTAATTTCAAACGGGTATTCCTCAAACTATGTAGGTGTATCCATGCATCCCTTCTTTATATCATTACCTGTTTATCTACAAGCTAATATTCGAAAGAGGTATAACGCCTACCAATATTTCTTTATAAACTCAAGTAAACTCAAAATCGACCAATATTTGTCTACAGAATAAAGTAGAAACAGAAGTAGTAGTTATCTGTAGATTCAAATATAAATGCCACCAATGCTTTCCATAGATTCAGTAAATGCAATGCATGCTTACCTATTGGCTCAAGTATAAA